GGCCACGCGCAGTCACTAGCCCCAGAGTGTTCTACAGGCTCTTTGCAGAGCGCTCACTCTGCTCTGAAACTAATTAACCTTATTACGACAACGGCCCTGATGAGAAATACACTGCTGCACAAGAACAATTAGGCTCTTGCAGCAGAGTGGCTGGCTGAGGGGTGTGAGGGGGCGGCTCTGGCCACGGCAGCGATGCAGGCGCCTCGTTTGCCGCTGGCAGGACCTCGGTGGGCTCCGTCCCGCTGCCGGGTCGGCCGTTGGTGCAGCGTTTTTAATAGGGGCCCCGTAACCCTGGGCAGCGGAGGGTGTTGTGCTTGGGGACGGCGCGTTGCTGTCGGTACCCCAGGGGACAAGGGCCACCGTCGCCTGTGCTCCCAGGGCTGTTCCCAAGTGGCAGCTGGTTAGCGTGGCCGGAGGGATGGGAATACCAGGGAGAACTTTGCCAGATATTAGCTCCTAACTGACAGCATCCGCTCACCCTCGTAGAGCCTCATCTGGTGGTGGGATTCAGCAGCACGACCACGGGGCTCCTCCAGCCCCTGACCCTCAAGGATGTGCCCTTGGTAGGTCCCACGTCGTGGCAGCCCTGTGCAGGTTCCCCAGGCACCTCAGACAGTGCCGGTGCCCGGCTGTACAGCGGATCACGTCCCCCAGTGCCCAGCCCTGGTCTAAAATCTCCGGTGTAATAAATCCCTCCTTCTCCCCGCTCCAGCGAGAAACCTTAGAGCCAAGTTCACCTTGGCTCAGAGGCTGACGTGGTGCTGAGCAGTATCTGTAGGGTCTGCAGTAAAAAACCCTGTGAAGTGTCCAGCCCAGCTTGGGGGGTGAGGATGAATAAGCGCTTGGGGGATAGGGAAGGGCCACGTGCAGGGTGTCTTCATGTTAAAGGTGAGTTATCTTGGGTGGTGAGCCCAGAAGAAAGGGTTTTGGTAGGTGCTTGTCGAGTGGGAAACAAAAGGGCCGGTGAAGCTTAATTTAGCTGCGCACGTGGCTCACGGAAGGATGGATGAAAATGCTCGGAGGTGTAGGCTTTTCTGTTGCTGCTCTTGTTAGTCCGGGAGATGTTCAGAGAATACAAAATCTTTGCAACTTGCCTGTCTTGCTCAGGGCTTGCTACGACATTGATGGATGCCACCACAGATAAGGACCTGCTAGTCCAGGAGCAGATCTACAATGCTTTGTGCTACCTGGGGGAATCTGAGCCCGAGGAGATCCTCAACTCCTGTGACGAGTACCTCCGGCAGCATGACAAGGTAGGGGTCTGCTTGCTCGGTCCTGGGAATGTCAGCAGGATGAGAAATACTTCGCAGTGGCTTGGGGATATTGGCTCTGTCAGCAAGCAAGGGAGATACCTGGGGGGATCTGGGCTAAGAGTGGTGGACCAGCTGGCTGAGAAGTCTGGTCCAAGGTGCTGGAGTTGCACAGGTGAAGAAATGGCGATAATATGCTGTCGTGGATCAGAAAGGGAGTACAGCTGGTTGGTGGTTCAAATCATTGCCTTTTCCTGTGCAGGCTGCGTGGTAGAAATGCTAGCCAGTCCCTTGCTGGGCATCTCGCAGCCCGGGCAGCTCTGGGATGTGCAGGTTTCACTTGCCCCGGGGCAGCCGCAGCGCCTGTGCGCAGCTTGGCTGACCGGCTGCTTTCTCCCTCCCTTTTCAGCTGGCCTACCCTCACCGGGTGATCATCCTGAAGGCAATGGAAACTGTGGTGAAGAACAACATTGCCCTCTTGGACAAAAGCATAGCGAAGGTGGTTATCTTCCTGGCGTCTAATGAAATGACCAAGTCAAAGGTATGACCTGAAAGCTCTGGCTCCTCCTGTCATTCCTGGCTGGGCCCTTTCTGCCCCTGATGCCGTCGTCGCAGTAAATGCTGCGTGTCTGGGGCTGCCCCAGCAGTAGCAGTTACTTCGTGGAAGGGAAGAGCTAGTTACGTGCCATCTTCTGGACTTGGAACGGCGAGGGAGTAGGGGATGTGCTACGTTCCTCTCTGGGGAGAGATGAGGATGGTTTGGCTGACGGTTTTCTCCCAGCACGGCATGCATACACAGCTAAATAAAATTCAGATGCTGAAAAGGACCTGGACAGGCAGGCGGGTGTTGGAGCAGGAAGGAGGCAGTGCCTCGAGGGGATGCGGGTCCATGTGGGGGAAAGATCAGGTCTGAGCCTTGAGCCTGTTGTTTAGCCTGCCTTGTGCAATTCCCCACGGCATTTGGAGCCGGGCACGACGCATGGCATTTAAATGGCCTCATGGGGAGGCCGCGTGTCTGACGCAGTCTCTGTTCTGATGTGGTTTCCTTCGTCCATACCAGGAGGTGATCCGGGACTGGCAGCAAGCCGCGAGCAACGTCCTTGTTGCGGTGGGGCAGCGCTTCATCAACAAGGTGATGGAGGAGGTACTCACTAAGTTTCAGCCAGGAATCCTGCCGCATTACTTCGTCATGCAGACGTTTGCAAACCTCTCTGTGTCGAACGGTGAGTTGGCAACCTGCCGCCTCTGTGTGCGGCTGCTGGTCTGCGTTGGAAAGAACCGTGGAAGTATTGTGTGCTTCAGGTGCTGTGGTTCACACTGTAGCCAAATAGCTCTGCAGTGGGGCACCTCCACAGCATCGTGCGTGCTGAGCCAGCCAGCATGCTTCAAAACAAACTTCTCGGGATCTTACAGCTTAGACTTGATGCTGCTAAACAACTGAGGTGTTTGCTCTGCAAAATAACTTAGTGATGAGATGCACTGAAAAACCAGTAAACAGCAGTATGGCAAAGTGGAGCGCGATCAGTGGTACCCGGCACGTTCCTGGCAATTCCCAGCGCGCAGAGGAGCTGAGTCCCTGTAAAAGTGGGTTTCACAGCTCAGCTGAATCTCTTTAAGATGTTTGCTGCTTAAAAGCAGCAGGAGTTGGAGCTGCCTGGCCCTTGTCCTTAGAGAATTCCCTGCTGGGCTCTTATTTCCAGCCATCCCAGAAAGACTGGGTTTAAAAATGATAATTCTAGGATAGGGCTTCTGAAAAGAAGTCTGGCTGCAGAAAGATCTGATGATGCCAGCAGCAAGTGGGACACAGCCTGCAGCTCACCAACTTTGAGAAACAGTTGTGGACTTCGGGGGCTTGGAGGACTGAGCTGCTGCTGTGCTAGTGCTGTCTCCACCGCGTGCTGGGGTGGCCAGCTCCCTCCTGGCGCTGTCGGCATCTCTTGTGTGCCAGAATCGGGCTCCTGGCTGGCAGCGAACGCCCGGCTGCGGCGAGCTGGGTTTCTTCGGGTGCCTGTGCAGTCCTGCTGGGTCTGGGTCCGGCGTAGGCTGGGGCAGCTGCAGAGCGGCACGTAGGTGTTTGCTGCAAGTGCACATCTGCTTCCTTCCCAGTGTTCGGAATGGTGCCTTTTCTCAACTCCATCCTCGGGACGATGCTGCCCATGCTGGGAATGGCCAAACAGGACCACATGAAGTCTGTCTTCTGCTACGGTAAGGTTTTTCTGGATCTTCTGAGACTGCGGTGATTTTAGATGTGTCGTGGGAGACTTTTTCCCTTCCCTGGAAAAGGAGGGACTGTGGATGGGGGCTGGAGAGCTGGCTAGGATGGACCTTTCCTGAATGTCTGGGAGCAGGGACCTGGCTGGCTCTGGGGAGGGATGGATAGCTGTCTGCTCTAGGTCACTGGGATCCAGCAAAAGTCCTTCTCCATCTCTTAGCTGATCCCTGTCACTCCCATTTCGTAGCCCAGTGAATACTGGCGCCCTTCGCTTTCTCCTCTGGCAAAGATGGATGCTCCAGAGCTCTGACTCAGGTCGAGGTGACTGGCCTGGTGGGATGCGCTATGCGAGACCCTCTTATAAACCAGGCTGTCCCTTTATTAAGACCATGAACCTGGCACCTTGCAACAGCGCAAGCGTTAGCCCTGGTAGGAATTGTGAGGAGTAATTCTCATAAGCTGGTTTCAGGATGTGACGCTTCTGGTGGGCTGGCAGGATGTCACGGGGCTCCCCTCTTGTGACGCCCTCCTCCAGCCCTGGGCTTGCTGAAAGCCGCCGCTTGTGCAGCGGGATTTGATGCAGAAGTACCGGCACTTCCACAGCTGGCAAACAGCCTACTGGGCTGTCCCTTGGTCTCTAACCAGAGCTGACCCACGGTGGCCCGTCGTGGTGTGGCTCCTGGCCCGAGTTGCTTTGTGTTTGTTCACCAGCGAGATGCTCTCCCAAGTGCGGGGCGGTAGCGTCTGCATCTCGGACCGCAGGACGGTGCGCAGCCCCAGTCGGGCATGAAATGACAGCCTTGTTAACGTCCAGCAGAGGATCCTCAGGATTTGTGGTTTTCTTTCCGTAGCTGGGCAAAAATAAAAGGTGGTCTGGGGGAGTGCAGGTTCAAGGGCTCTGATGGACACCACAGGAGCTGCTGGAGCGCGCCGCCGGTGCAGTCGCTCTTATCTCTCGCTGGTACTTACGCCCAAGGCCTGGGAATGCTAAGATGGCTCTGTGTGTCAAGGAATGAAGGGGATGAGTGGGAGCCTCCCGAGCAGCCCTGTAAACTGCAGGGCTACATTCAGCAGCACCTACTTCTCCTAGAAACAATGAGGTTTGTGTCTGAACTCGTTACTGGGATCTGCTGCAGTCCAGTAACAGTTTTACACTGTTGGACATGAGGGGCTGCTTCGACCTTAAGAGCTCTTGTTCTATTCTGTTGAGCTCAAAGCAGGAACGTGCAAGTCTCAAGCTGTTTCTGTACAGGCGCGTTCTCAGAAAGCCGGAGCCAAGGTCAGGCAATCTCTGTGAATACGAAGCATCCTCCTTCAATCGAGCACAGCCAAACCCCTGAGCTGGTTTAGCCGTGGGGGTTGTTGGTGTTGGCAGCTCAGGTAGTTTAGGCTGGCTGCAGGCGATCGCGGATAGCGGGCTACGTGTTTATAGACGGGAGGTCTGCTGCTGTTCCTGTCCGAGATGGCTTAGCAGCAGTGCCGGGCCCTGCGGAGAAGGGATCCTTCTGCTCGGGCACGGCGGGGAGAACCAGCATGGCCCGTGGGGCTGGTAAAACTTGGTTCTGTGGTTGGGGTGGCTCCTTCTGGAGCAGCCTTCTGCCATCAGCAGCTCTTTCTCCTTCATTACTTCCAGCAATCACTTCTTTTGGCTTTCTGCTCCCCGCTCTCCTTGCTTGGTCCTGAGAAATGTGACGTCCCGGCTCTGCACGTGTTCCTCCCGAAACGACTCTGTAGCTGCTGCCGCTGAGGCACAGTCGGTTTGTTGCTCTTGCGGAGTACTTGCAATCTCTTAACTCATATCCTCAAGCACATGAAGTCTCCAAAGTGCTGCCGGCGCTGGGGAGCGTGAGGGGATGAGCATCTTTAAGCAGCCCCGTGCGGGTCTGGAGCAGGTCCTGCCCTGATCCCGAAACCCCTGCCTGCCCACGGTCAGCCCCTCACGACCGCTCCTGTCCACCGCTGACCTCGGAGCGTGCGGAAAACCGGGCTGAGGGCTGGGGCATGGGCGGACGTGCCTTCCCAGACCTTCCTGAAAGCATGAGGAGGCCACGGTGCCGAAATCGGGCTGCCAGGAGGGGATGTCTGTGAAACTCGGAAGACGTCGCTTGCTGGCGTGCTGGATTTCTGGCTCCGTATGGTTTCTGTATAATTTTTTGCCAAAGTTTTCAGTAACTGAAAGGCAGATGAGGTTACTCTGGAGTCAGCACAACTGTGTGACGCAGGCGGCTTTTTGGGGTGGTTTTGCTGTTCCGGGGTGGCCCAGTGCGGAGGGACAGGGACAAGGACGTATCAGACTGCAGAACAGTTACATTGAGCTTGATCTGGGCTGAATGCGGGGATGGAGATGTGGATGTGGGGATGTGATCCTGGTTTTACCGCTCTGGAGGAATCTGCAAGGTACCGCTTTCTGACTTGGGAGTGGTGCTGCCCTCGGCGGCCCCGCTGTAGGGAAGGGAATGAGCTTCCCAGCGCTGTCCTAA